TCCAGTGTTCTAGGTGTATTCGTAAAAACGAGCCCAGTAAAATCTTTGACGAAGACAAAAAGGCTCTCACCGACCAGTTACACAACTGTTTGAGGTATCACCTATCATAAATTCGAAATTATCATCAGCTAATCACATCTCTTGTGCTAAATGAATTGAATGCTTCGCAGCAATGATCAGTAAAGAAAACCAAATTACAGAAAATACGCGCACAGGAATGATGGACGGTTATAATGAAAAGTGAGTAAAACGAACTTCACAAGATTTTTCTCAACCACTTTGTTCAACATCACGATCAACGTACATCCTTGTTCCCAAACCATCTGCCAGAAATCACTGCACGTAGAAGGTAATGGGCCCTATGAAGTTTGCTACATTTCAATCGAATAATGCAACCAAAAATTCAATCAGACACACTGAACAACACTAATGTGATGTCATTACAAAAACTGAAACAGATCACTCACTATCGAAATGAACCACACAGCTCTGCAATAAAGAATTTCACTGCTGCCCAAGCATCCTCACGGCCTAACCATAAGGATTATCCCTGTTCGGCCAGCGATAATGTGTGAAGAAATGGAGATTCATTCATATAGACTTTGGGAATGAAACAGAACATTTGAATGGATTTATGAGAGGATTTATCACTGTAATCATCAAAAATCACCTGAGTGAGAATGTAATTACGCTTTGCTGACGGTAATGAAAGTGGTGAAGCATTAATATAGTCTGACTGTTCATCTGAGATTTTTTTAAGTACCACACGACTGCAATCATCTAAAAGTAAAACTTTTTATAACAATTTTGAAACAATTACAAACTGAAAGAATACTAGAATGACAAATATAATGACGATTTCCGATATTATTACTACTATGTTGTCACACGCTTCATTCACCCTGAGGAATAATTTCGCGTAATACTGCTTAATCTGAAATGAAACTGACCGAAAGTCAGAAAACGAAATACTTGAACTTAAGAACGTACATGCCGAAACATTTCTGTAACGGTTTTTATCCGCATTTTGCCAAGAATGTGCTATTCTCGTTGACAGTTTCAGCACACGTTCCTGTTTGGTGGAAAGATTCTCAATGCTCTAAAAAATATTCTTGAAATAATGAATGTTACCATGAAATAATAAAGTCCGAAATATTTAACACTTATACCAACAGATTTGGTGATAGTATAACTAACAATATCACTACGCTAAATTGGCTGAATGAATAAATTGCTTGCTACACTCAGATGGCACATAAATTAACCACATAGAATGATAATATTCGCACAAGAACTCCAGCCGTATAATACAAACATTAATTCTTCCACCACACAAGTGAGTGGTGTATTAGGTATGATAGTGAAATTTTTTAATTTTAAGTACTTCTTTTGGGTTGATCCAAGTGGGCATTTCAAATACTTTCATGAACGTCAGTCAATTTCAGTATGACGCAGAAAACGATAATGATGCCAAAGTAAATAAAACTCGGAGGTAAACAAAAATGATATAACCTGAAATATTGCGTTCCATTGACGATTTTTCTCATTTTCATCAAACTTTGCGATCAAAAACTCTTTCGCCATTAGCCACTAAAAGAATATAATCTGGAACAGCGACTCAAATTATTTTTTCGAACGCAAACAACAAATCCATCAAACAATGAATGTGGAAAAATCACGATAATATCATAAATAAAAATGAACGATCAGGCACAACGTATCAGTACTAAAAGCGAATAAATAGTACCTATCAGATGATAGTCACTGGATATGTTATGCAATAATCGAATGAATGTTGAGCATATAGCATTGACATTACTATCATTTATTCATTTACATTCAACAACAAAATGTTTTTTCAATCAAATAACATAACACTGAATCATACTTCCGCTTGTCGGCGCATAATATTTTTCTTCGGAACTATCAGAATGCAGTTTTAAACTCGCGTAAATATCTCGTTTGTGAAAAGGCAAAACGATCAAATTCAAAATGCTATATGAACTAAAACCATTCAAATACCCACTAATGATGGACATGCATAAAGACGTAACGCAAACCAACAAGTAGAAATCTCATTAATGATGAACCATAATCGGCCACTGTAAAGAGTTCAAGGGAGCATTTGTTGGAAAATACAAAACCGAAAAGTGGTATGAAACGGCTAAATGATATAAACAATTTCAATGTACTACTCCAATTGACATCGAGATGAGCAGATGAGGGTGATCTTGCACTTTAGGTCAACAAGGAAAGGGGTGTGGCCTAACGCACAAATAACACGCGTCAGCCATCGCATGCAAGAAAACATTGTGCCACAGCTCACTGCACTTATTTACAACATCTTTCTTGAACAAACAGTGTGTTCCAACTGATGTTGGGTCGGTCACCACCAAAAATCGGTCGGTAATCACCGACGGTTTTGCGGTGATCACCGACGCGTCGGTGATCACCGACCGCAACCGGCAGAGCGTGCTCGGTCAGTGACGGTGGCAAACCGCCAGGCGGTTACAACCGATCGGCAACCGACTGAGGCTCAAAATTATGCGGTCGGCAAATACCGAGTTGCGGTAGCCGCCGATAGCCGGTGACCACCGAGGAAAATCTTGCGGTCCCCAACACTAGTTCCAACTGAAACAAATTCGATTGAGAAAATAAGCGTGCTCGCAACTAATTGTGATCCATGCAACGAGAAACAAACCGGTCAACTGCAAATTTATACTCAATAAAATGAAATCAAATCGAAGAGTATTGACCTGTTCTACACTAGCAGTCAAATGCACATTAATACCACCTAAAATGATTCCATATTGAACAGCCTTCACAAAGATTACAGCACAGGTCAAATGCATTCAAATATAAAATGAAATGGGCACTTTTTTACTTTGGGGGTGTCGCACGCGAGCAAGCTCACGTACAACGATACATACATACACTCGCACAATATGAACGACGCTTTCACATGGACCGAGGCCACGTCTACTGCGCATGGCCTCAGCCCAAGCGTAGTCTCAGTATAAGCCTGAGCCTGAACTCGCTTGCTAGCCCCCGTTATGATCTGGTGATCTGGTGCTACGCTTAGATGGGGCTGAGGTCACACTTAGGCTGAGGCAATGCGCAGTAGGTGTGGCATCGGTTGTTATACGCGAGCATGCTCGCGTGCGACCTCCCCAAAGTAAAAAAGTGCCCTGAAATGAATCCATAACGCAGTCTCTTCACCTGAATTGCACTATGGATGAAATGCATTCTAACACCAACTGAAATGAATAGATCCATCACCCTGCATCCTACATGATGTGTTGAGTGCTACTGATATTATTCGTAACATGAATCCAAACTATACTCAGTTGCTGCTTACATTAGTGCTTATCATTGGTTTATTTCAGGTTGCATAGATCACAATTAGTCGTGAACACTATTACTTACTCAATCGAATTTGTTTCAGTTGGAACAGTGCTTGTAAATAAGTGCAGAGAGTGGCACCATGCATGTGAAATTTCAAATAAGCCAACAACAAATTCGCTGAAAAATAACAATTAGCTAACAGATAAGTGATTAATAATTATGAAGTCAAACAAGGAGGGTTCTAGTGCTGATTCGAGGTTCCACTCCGTTCAGACACACATGGGCGGCAATTCTCGGGCGCACACAAACCGAAACCCATAAGCCTCATCAGGCGACGTCGTACTTCGCCATAAAAACGCAGAGAACCGTTTCTCACCTCGCGCGACGCGGTCATGACTCCACCCTCCCGCCGACACGCGCATATGGCGAAGTACGTAAGCATCCCTCATCATAGGCCTAAGCCTCAGAGAACTCCTTTCTTGACATGAAATTGCAAGGCATGGCACTCCAAAACTAATAATGATGAAACTCAATATTTCAACTGCTCAGAAAACGAAATCGGAACATCTTACATCCCAAAGTTAACATTTAATGTAAACCAAAATTGACTTCTGATACCTCGAATTCTGCAAAAAAAGAGCAGAACGCCTTCGAATACTTCAAGGCTGAATCATAAATGAGGCCTTTCAGTAATCTTCGGAACGTTCTTCCAGACAAGGCTTTAGCATGAAACATTCGCAAATGCAGCCAACTGCCGTAACTACACCTTCGTCTTAAAACTTTAATGAATACCGTTATTCAGCTATAATTTCTATGGATTATCCATTAATCTCTCAACATCAATTGAATTAATGTCAGTTTGAGGCAAATCAGAAGTGATGATAGTTCAACTATCGCTGATCCACTGAACTAAAAATTGTTAGTTCCGCTGAAAAAAACCAAAACAAAAAACTTTCCCCCATGAACGGAAAGCGAAACCAGGACGCACCAATTCCTGTTCTGGGAGGAAAGTTTTGCTCGGAACCGAGTGGTGTACCAATGTGGTTGATGATAACCAAGCTATGATTTGGCTTGTATCTTATTGTCTACTCATAGTATAATAATAATAATAATAATGTAAGTAGGGATGACGATGATGAAGAAAGATTGATGTCGAAATCTTTCCATTGATTCACTGTAAGATTGCTCACATTAGTCATTAGTTGTGGACCATTAACATAGAGGACTGAAAAAAACAATAACATGAAATGAACAATGAAATGATTTTGACATGTAGATATGAAATTGTTAAACGAACATTATTTTTCAAGACACAATGAATTAAATCAGCTTCCATCGAACGTGCAGTGCATTCTTTCCGTCATTTTTGTTACAATTGTTTAACTTTTTATTATGAGCCTATTTATTATTATCACCATAAGTAGTACCTCCGAGCCTTCTTAACTACGGTAACTAGACACGCTCACAAATTACCGTAGTTAGCCACGCCCGCACTTAACGAAAACGTTACGAATCGAGTAAAGACACGAACAGTTGAAAAATCAGAAACGGTAATAAATGTCCTAACAGGAAAGATAGTGAAAACTTTAGAGTCCATGATTCAGAGTTTTTCAAATAATGAACAACAGAAAATTAACACCACTATTTCTCTGAATGCAGAGATTCAGCCCGATTGATTATTGTGAAGAAATTGATATCTTACTGGTCAAAGCTGAGAGTACGGAAGGCCTGAATTTCCTAGCCCCAAAAGCATCAGGTAAATAGCTACATCTCCTCGTAGAGGTCGAATTCCTCGGCAATTTTTTCATTTTCAGAAAACAGAGGTTCTGCTCAATCGAATCATGTATAAACATTAAT